GGATCCTTTACTAAGGTATTCATTAATTATAAACTATAGTTAGCTGAGATCGTCCTAAATTAGAGAGTAAAAAATGCCGAGAGTATAAGGGGGTTGGTTTTATCACCAATTATATAAGATAAATCTAGCACAAATTTACTTTTGAAAAATGATTCTATTTTATGATTGCCCCCAAAATAAATTATATTTATCATATAATAAAAGTCTATAAAAAATTTTTGTTTCATAATTTTTGAGTTATAAAGATTATTATAATATTTAGTTAGTCATGACTCTCACTAGATTACAAGGGTTAGAGGACTCTCAAACGACGGTACCATTAAATGACTCTCAGACTATTTTATCTGTACCTGGAAGTCCCGCAACTTCAAACTCTATTTTTTGTTGCAGATAATAATAATATTAAATTTTTGGCTATTCTATCTTGTAATTAAAGATTACAAAAAAATTGAATTTCGATTCCTTTAGTTATATATTATCATTAATGTATAAAATTATAAAATACCCCAAAATAATAAAAAAAATTATTGGATAGTCTAGAATACTTCCGAGTAATTTACCTCATTAACAGAGCCATTCATTCCATGCTAAGTCAGCCTAATATCAGCCTTAATAATGCTTCCAATATTTTTAATAACCTTGTTTCACTGTGCATTTCTACCCTTAATATTTTGGTGCCCGGCTTCATTGTACTCTCCAAAAAAGATAAGGTATTCGTCCTATCGATATTGGGTCTATCTCCGAAAAATCATATCCAAAAAATCATATTCAAAATTATTACTGGCGGTTAAAATCAAGACTCAAATATTTTACTACCCTATGAATTATGCTTTATTCCAGCAGGGTATGAGGCTGCATTACACGCCATCATCTACATCAATCTAATAAGACTTCTTTTTTTTAAATTGGACTAATAATGCATTTAACTTTCTTAAGAGAAGCCACATTATTCCTTCCTTCTGCGACACATTCCCTGAACATTTCACTTACATATCTGTATACTATGGCCAACCGTCCTATTTAAAGTTTCATAAAACAACCATAGAATGATAAGAAATACAACAAGGGGACTCCTTATTTTTGGCCAAGTGTTTTGAAGAAATCCCGGGCTCTTAATTCGGAAGCACCGTGTCGGAAACAATGGGGATTAAAGTGATATTAGGAATATTACTATATTTATTGATTTTTCTAATTTCCACTCTAACCAAATATTTGAACTAATGAATGGTACAACACCATCAACGCGTGTGTGATCCCAGGCTAGCAGAATTCCGTTGTTCCATGGAATGAGTGTCATTCTATCAGGCCTAATATCTCCGAAATTAAGTCCTACTGGTTCTAACTTTAATAAAATATTTTTTGAGCGGAGAGCTATAGCAATAATCGAATTTACTGCTTGGTGGCATGGATGGCAACTTTTTGAGAAGCGGCAATAAAGAGGGTGGTGGCTTAAACGAAGGTATATTCTTATCCGAAGTTCGGTTGGAGCTAGGAATAGCCTCATGCTATTTATTGATTACATATTGGATTATTGATGAAAAATCACTACTTTGATTTATTCTGGAGGTGATATCTGGGCTAAAGATCGAGGAAACACCCTTCAAAACAACTTTCCAGTAAAGAAATTCAGCGAAATGATGTAAGCATTACTGTTGATTGGAGGATAAAGGCAAGAGAGCATTTGGGGCGTTTGACTTCCACAGGTCTAGTGTCAACCTCAGAGGATCTTTAGTGTAGGTAAAAGTGTTGATAATTGTTTAACTTTTGTTATTGACAAAGAGATCGAAAGCCTATATTCCAAATTTGCTAGGGAAAGCAGCTTTCCTCAAGGAACATAGCGAGAATTTGAGGTTGAGTATTGATTCATGGGAAATTTTAACTTAAAGTTCTAACACTAATAACATTGGAATAGAGGAGCAGGACGAAAGACATGCAATATTTTTTATTTTTATAATACATAGTGTTAAATTTTTGGAAAAAAGATGAATGGTGAGATTATAAAAACCTAGGATTTTCTGCGTTATCTAATGCCTTATGTTTAAAAGGACATTACATTTGTTGTTAATGGTATCTATGAAAATATTTATGACTCTCTCATCTTGCAAACTATCAGTGTCCTGTCGACAGCATCGGCCATCATTTCCGCTTCTTAAAAGGCCGCCACCCACGTCACTAGTCAGTAGATTCGATTATTGCTGGAATTTTCTGCTTAGACATCATTCCATCAAAGTTGGAACCACTAGGACTCAATTTCGGAGATAATATTTGGCATGGTGGATTTTATTTTCTATTATGATACCATTATTTTTTGCATTTGAGTAGGGTTTATTATTTATCTTTTTCTAAAAATCGGTTATAAGCCGATATTATTATATTTTCCGATCCTATAAAATGGCGTCTTAATTTAAAAAATATTACATCGTTGATATTTAATTTATTTAATATTTAAGAAAATTCAATTTAAGAATATGCTTCTTAAATTATTTGAAGTGATAAATTTAAAGAAAAACGAACTAATCAATTCAAACTATGCTAAAAAAATAATAATAAAATACATAATTTAGTATTTTTAAAACTAAATAAATAATTTACATTGATCATGAATAGACTAGATGGGATACTACATGATAAACAGACTAGGAGCAAAAAAATACAACAATTTTAAGTATAAATAAATGATTTATCAAAATTAACATATTTTTAGATTTGCTGAATAAATATAACTGAACAATTACGCTTAATATGATGCATTAATTAAAATTTGGTAATAGTATATTTTAAATCACTTCTGGTTATATTATTGTATAGTCATAGATGGTTGTATATTATAAAAGAGTACATTGAAAGATTAAAATGTAAATATGTATAACGAACAAAATCGGATTAGTATATCAGGAAGGTAATTCAATATAACATTTGATCGGCCTCCAAAAAGGGATATCGGTACACCTTTAATTTATATATAAACTTTATAAATGTATTTTTTTAAATAAGAGTAAATTAATATAAATATAGATTCTTACTTAAATTAACATAATTAAAATGGTTAATTTTATTCCAGGATTAACAAAGTTACATGAAATCATTTTTAATAAAATTTAATAATTAATTATAACATTTATGTAAAATATGATATAATAAAATGTTTTTATTTATAATTAATAATTATTTAAATTACAAACAAAGAAAATTATCGTATTTCTTGTTCAAAAATGATTTTAATGAATTTGATTAAATCATGGACTTAGATAGAAGACTCCGCTCAACTTGACTCACTTCACCGTCTATTGAAATTTTTTTACTTTTATCGTTTTCTTTTACTTTATTATGATTTACTCCAACAAAAATCATGACTTTCCTTCTCTAATTTACTTTTAAAATTTGTCCAGATCTATGTGGGACTCATATTTAACTGACCTTTAAATAGTTTTAAAAAGAAAATATTTATGATATTTTACTTTACAACCTATTAATCTTACTCATAATTTTTTTTTCTAGACTATTAAACCTTATACAAGTTATTATGGAATTTAATGGTTAGTAAAGTTTTGAAATGAAATATTAATAGCAAATATGCATATATTTTTATCTATCTCTTATATTATTTAATGTAATATAATAATATCAGTAATAATATCTGACCTTTAAACAGTTTCTGAATATATTAAAAAGAAAATTTTGTTCTTTAATATTTTTTTATCATAAACTCAAATTATATTTGTGTACATTATTGTAATGGATAAAATGGATATTTTATAGAATATTCTAACAATATAATATAATAGTAGAATACTTTTTTTAAAGTTAAGATACAAGTAGTTGTCATACTTAGTGATTTTGAGCCTATTTTTAAACATGGCTAACTCAGTATTTTATCCAGATAAATATTACACAAGCCTGAAGATTTTGCTTAGAGATGACGCAAAGGTTTGGACATCCATCATCGGAATCTTGAGGCATAGGCAATATATTTCTGGCTAAGATATTATGTTAGCTGTTTTTCGGCTCAAAAGGAGCGATTTTGCATCACTACATACTGCCCAGGCCTAATACCTTAATACTTATCATAATTTTTATACTTGAATAAGAGGCCTTTAATTTGCAAGTTTTAGCCAGACCATCAATTGTAAAAAAATGAATCCGCCCACCCATAATGAAAATCACCCACCCACTCATTTGGTTAAATTTTTTGTTTAACCCACCCACCTGCTTCCCCAATGTTTAAAAATTATTGGTTTGTTTGGCTCTTTATTTTATTTTAATATATTTTAATTTAAAACTTATGAAATAAAAATTAATTTTTTATAAATATATGCCCGTCCTGCTACCGTCTGTAAACTATTTCTAATTCATCTGCCTGTCCATTATTTTAAAAATATTTTTTGCCGCCCAATGTTTAAATTTTATAGCCCATCTTTACATATCGGTTGCAGACCTTTAACTTGAATATTATTTTAGATAAAAAATAAATAGATGAAAAATGGTATTTATTACAAAAAAAATCAAATATATAATTAAAACTTTTAAGAAAATTGAGAGATCATAATAAAATCAAATAATTATCAAGATAATATTATTATATACATTTCTTTGTATTTGAAAGAAACTAATTCTCATTATCAAATCTGAAAAAAATTATACAATATTATTGTCAAAATAAAATTTTTGTCTTGTTTTTAAATATAGCGGAGAGATGGTCTTTTCCCCTTTTTTAATTTTTCACATAAATTATGAAATATTGATTTTTAAGATAATTGTATCATTTTAAAAAAATGAATAATTGATTAAAAAAAACTGTATGGTAATCCAGTTCGCATGATCTCAAAGTAAATAATTTAAAAATAACTACTTTTTTTGTACTCGATTTTATTTTATTATCTTTTTTATGAACAGATATTAATTGTGTGATGAAAAAAATAAAAATAAATTCGATTTTTTTTGCTATGCCAAAATAGATTTTCATTTCAAATTTAAAAATTATCCTTTATTTTTTAACACAGTCTGGGTGTGGATAATGTCATAAAGCAAAAAAAAACAAACACTGATACCGAAATGAATTTACCGATCGATAGACTAGAAACTTTTCCCGATGATGTTCCTTCCTCCGAACATAAAACCACCCCTGATGACTCTCAGTCACATTTGACCACCATCCAAGACATTGTTTCAGAAGTGGATAAATACATTGATAGCAATGATAGCTTCACGGCAATTCCAGTGAACCAAACCATCGCGGGCCAGCCCGAACCTAAATTTATCAATAACAGGAACAGCGAAACTAATAATAACTTCGAAGTTAATAAAGTTTACGGTAATCATTCCGATCTAGATAGAGTAGGTGATATAGGCGACTTCGCTACCAACATCAGATCCATATCAAATTTTCCTAATATATTCGATGACCCCTTCTTGACCTACGATAGTTTGAATTCGGACGATAGTGATAATTGGACTAAAATTAGGGGTGACAAAAGGGTAGGATTTATTATAAAATAGAAAAATACCAAAATTTTGTATTAATTTTTAGTTATCTCTTAAAAATGTTATTATCGGAAAACCAAAATCAGGACCATGGTCCTAATTAGAACCAGGTCGTTGAGTATTTATGTACATCGTAAAATAAATGATTACTTTAAAAAAAAAATAGATGATTAAGCACATGAATTCGAAAGATATCAAAAGACAGGACATTATACACGAACTAATAATAACCGAGCGATTACATTTGCAAACATTATCTATAATTATAAAGGTCGACATTTAATAATAAACTTATTTCATACCAAATCATTAATTTTTATAAAGGCAAAAAAATTGTATAATCAGATTTATTTTAAAAATTTGGATTTTTTATGACCAAAGCTATAAATATAGGGCTTTATGGGTAAAATTTTTATACCATCTTATTTATGCGATATGTTTATTCAAATTAAAGAGGAATACTTTCAAATTTTTGTTTAACACAAGGTAAAGCAAATTTTGAACATTTTACAAATATAAGAAAATCAAGTTTACAGTCTGAAAAGATAGGTCTCATTATAAAATACAAAAAAATATTAATTAGACAGTTAACAAGCCTAGTTACGGATAATTTATCATACATGTTTATGATGAAGAATACTACTCTAATAATTTAACAGTTTAAGTATGAGGAAACTAATATTAATATTTTACTACTTTTTTAATAAGGATCCTAGTGAGACTAGATAAAATATATTAACAGATAGCCAAGTATATTTAAAAGAAAGAAATAGTGGAACTTATATAAATTATTTAATCGAATATTTCATCGTTTAGATTTATTCCTTTGCTATGAAAAATATTCTGCAAATCGATGACGAAACATTGAAAACACTTTTCCCTCACGTTTCCAATCTCTTTGACATTCATTTAAGCTTTTATAAACATCTCAAAAAGAGGCAAGACACCGCTCCTATCGTTGAAAATATCGGAGATGTTTTATTGGATCAAGTATGCATTGATTAAAATATTAATAAAAATGAAAGATTATCCAAATCCCTAATTTGTCACGATACTAATCCAGAATTAAATAGTTTTTTTTTTCAAATTAACAATTCAAGAAAATATTTATAAAAGTAAATAAAATATTCTGTTTGAATTTATAGTTTTCGGGAGAAATGGCCAACAATATGAAACGGGAATACGGAATATTTTGTTCTGAACACAAAAGCGCTATATTCGCTTATAAGCAACTCGTTAAAACTGATAAAAATATGCCTTCTTTTATGCAAGTAATTATCAAAAAGAATGCACTTATTATTTCGTTAAACTTTTTTGGATATTATTTTTATAGATTTTTTTAATCCAATAAATATTTTAATTTTATGAAGGAAGCCCTATCTCATCATTTATGCCGGAGGAAAAGTGTCCCTGAATGTATTTTAGCTATTACCCAAAGAATTACCAAATATCCTATATTTTTAGAATCAATTATCAAAGCTAACAAAGGTATTCGTTTTACACAATTTGATAATATCACTTAATTTTATAGATGTCACGGGTAGGGGGTGTGGTAAAAGTGTTCTCATATAATATAATAAGATCTAGTGATATCATAACTTAATTTGCTGGGCGCATTTTACATCTAAATTTTCGTTTTGAGTCATCTGATAAAATTGTAATTTTATGAATCTTGGTATTATTGGTTTAGCCTCTTCTATTTTACTCATATATAAAAATCTCGACATCTTTTAAAATAATATTGCGATAATGATAAAAGGCAAAAAACAACACGCTGTAAGTAATATAGAAGACGATGATAAGGTAATAAAAGCCCTCGACGGGTTAAGATGCGTGCTTACTCACGTAGATGAACAGATCGCCCGTAAAGAGCTGGAACAAAGACTGGCCGAAATCGTATCTAAGTTCGACCTCAAATCATTCACTATATTAGAGGGACAAAAATTTACGGTTGTTTTTTAAATCCTTATATTATACTTTTCGCCATGAAGCATGGAATTGTTTTTTATAAACAACTTGCCTCCTTATTAAATCTGAAGAATTATTCCATTTATTATTAATATTCGTCATCATCAATTTTTAAATTTCAGTTTTCGCTCATATAACTTATATTATGTTGAAGTCAATTCACATAATCAATTAACACGTGTCTTGTCTTACTCAAGTCTCCCTAATATCTTTCAAAATTATCGGGAATTCGGATGAATATTCTACACATGCTGAAATATATTTCACGGAGAATTAGATTATTAAAATTTAAAAATTGCTCTAAATAATTTATATAAATAGCTCAATCGTGTGTTTTATCGTTTTTTTATATTTTAATATGATTTTGCGAAAAATGTGTAGAATACCTTATAAATTCCAGATAATTTAATCACTTTTGAATTATTTTTAATTTATATACTCAATATGCATATTAACTGATTAAGCGAATCGGCTATGAAATATATAACCTTTATCATTTAAACAAAATTTCGATAAAGAAACACGATTTATCTCCTCTCAAAGGAGAAAACAACAATGACCAGGGTGGATCAACCATTATGAAAAGATCGGATATCAACTCTCGGAGACTTTTACACGAAGGCGGCCCATTTGAAATAATCTATGCTGGTTTGAACGGCATAACAAAGGGTAATAAACAATCCTGCCAAATACATCTCATGCTTATGAACGACATACTAGTGTTTTTGCAAGAAAATGGCGGTAAATATACTTTCGCTACCTCGGATAACAATAATCATAATATGGTATGTATATAGTAAATAAATCATCATTGTTTTTTTTATGTAATGAAAGAAAGAAAAATAAGATAAATTAAACTACTAAATACTACGATATACTAAATTATTAGGATCATTACAGTCTAGTACAATTTCTGCCAGGAGGAAGTAAAAATATTCCACTAAGATTAATTGAATCAGACTTCAGACTTAAATTTATGTCCATTCTTTATTGAATTTTTTTAGGAATTAATTTAGGATATAATTATTAACAAAAAATGATGCAGCCGTCCGTTCTATCCTTAAAAAAGTTGCTTTTCCGGGAAAAGGCTAGTGAACCATCGGTATTCTACATTATCAACACGAATTCTCCAGAGATGTACGAGATCGTATGTGACAATGTGAAAAACAAGAATCAATGGATGTTTCATTTAAGAAAGGCGCTAGCTCAGGCCTCTATCGCTCAAACCATTCAGAATCAAAATGAAGGTTTTTTTAAAAATAAAAAAAATTATTTTTAAAGATGTATACCGATTTTTTAAATATCATTTTTTTAAATACCGGCTATCAACCGATGTTTTTAAAATATCAAAATGTCTGATAAAAATCTATTTCCATATATATATATTTTGTACATTTCAACAAAATGTTATTATATCATTCTGTTAATGTAATTTTATTATAAAGATAAAAGACACTCATCTCAAATCCAAGAAGATCTTAGAAAAATGCAAATCGAATACGAAAAAATTCAAACGTTATTAGGTTGCTTATCTTTTTTAAATTATTTTTATTGCGATTTACTCTACAGACTATAAAATTATTTAGTTAAATGGTTTTGTTAACATAAATATAATTTTATCAATTAAAACACGTTATGGATCCCAGAAATTTTATAATTTGCCATTTTTTCTAATTAAATTTCTGGTCCCTCGAAAAAATTATAAGTGAGTTTTATACTGTTCCTATATATACAATTCATTACACATCTCTATAAAAAATTTAATTTACCATTGAATTCTTCACTCTTCCCATAAGATAAAAAACAGGAATTGATTTATATTTTTAATTTTCATATTTTTTTAATATATTTTTACCCTTATTTTTTTTCTTTCATGTACGATTATTTTTCTCACTTATTTGTTGTAAAAAAAGTAGTATTTTATAGCTTGGATATATTTTTGTATAGAAAAAAAAACAAATATGTTTATTTTTTTTATAAACCATCGCAAAAAATTATGTGTTGGACTTTTACTTTTTGTTTTATGAGAAAAATTAATATATATATATAAATTTAAGTTAAAATAAAATAAAATAAGAAAACTGCCTCGCAAAAAATAAGAATAAGAAAAATACTTGAAAAAGTAAAGAAAAGTACCATGAAAATATAAGTTAAAAAGAAATGTAAATATATGAAAATAAAAAAATCGAGTTAAGCCATATAAAAATGTGAATTGCAAAAGTAACAAATTTTTAAAATGGTTTATTTCTTTTTATTATTTTGGAATTCGATAGTTTTTTTTTTATTTGCTTTACTAATGAGTTAAATTAGAGTATTTAATGTTATTTTTTATCCATTTTAACCGAATTTCTTTTTCTTCTCAGTAATTATATTCTCTTGTACATCTCGGTGGGCAAAAAGAGTTTTATTTTCAGATCGCCATATTTCCTATTAGAGCAAAACCTTTTTTTAAACGCCCCTAAAAAAGATAATAATGTTTTTACACATTTATTAGAGCTAGTGATGATTATTAGTAGATAAATATTCTTCTGAAGAATCATCTTAAGAATGAATCAATATTTTCACACATATTTAAAACTTTTTTTAAAATTTTAAAGCCGACGCCAAGATCAAAGACAAAGAAATCGACGTATTAGTCTCTCAAAAAAATTCGGCCATTTCGAAAATAATCGATCATTTACAAAAATATGTCATTACTCAAGAACTTAATAATAATGGATTACCGAATAACTCCTCTAACGCATCTAACTTCGAATCCAAAAACTCGTCCAGCTCTTTATTTCAAAGAAAGTCATTACCACCTGATTTCACTTTGATAGGATCCTTCCTGGATAAGTTTAAAAGAGAAAGCGAAGTTAGCTTGTTTAAATCTATGACCAATTATGTAAGTTTGAACGATAACGTTTCGACTGTTAACACAGTCACCACTACTGCTAGCATCAGCGATAGAAATCTTCCGGGAGAAGACGATATTGACTGTGAGGTTAATTATGGCATCAAAAATAGCGGACTTGTTAGACTTCATGACTTTGTCCAGGCCTCTATAAATCAATGTAAGTAATTTTATTTTTTTAATTTATTTACAAAAATAAAACATCTATTTTATTTCAATGTTTAGACAATTTTGAGTTTTTATTATGAATTAATATTTGAGTTTATACTTAATTATCATATAAATTTAATTTATTTAGTATGTAACGTCAATCAGTCGTATTTAATTCCTTCATCCTCTGTCAATCTTAACCGAAGTGTTAGCGATGTATTGGAACATAATAAGCCATCTTACGGTTAATATAAAATAAATAAATCTACGCGGTTTTTAAAAAATATCATTTTAAATCTATATGAATTCCTAGAAATGTGATATAAATAATAATATTTTAAAGATTATTAGTTTTTAATTGAATTTGTTTTAAAATTTAAAGTTTAATCTTAATGAAAAGAATAACCACATCTACTTAATTTTTCCCCAAAACTTCCACTCGGGATATGGGGTATGCTGTAAAATTGTCATTGAAATTTGAGGGGGGTTAGGTGGTTCATTTGTAAAAAAAATATTAGATAGGGTTAGAAGCTAGTTTTAGTTTGGATTTCATATTTTAGCTAATTTTGATTTATTAGGAGGGGTAGGGAGTTTTTTCATTGGCTTAGGGAGATTTAGAAGTCCCTGACTGTTTCTCTTGTCATCAGTTAACCCTACACTTTCTGTGGGATGGAAGTAGAATACCTTCTGAAAAGTAACCCCCCCCCCTCGAAAAAATGGTTAATTATTTTTTGACACCCATAAATTTTAAAAATAATTTTTATTGCATCAATCTTTAATATATATTGTAAATAAAATGTAAAAAATATTATTTTTAAATTAATAATTTAGATTAATTGTTATAATTTCATCAATATATTTATTTTTCCATTGATGAAATTAGATTTCTCTCCTAAAATCTTGTACCTTTGAAAAAACATCCAAAAATTCAGTGTTATTATCTATTAGGATTAAAAAAATAATTAAAGACAATAATTTAAATTTATACTTCTAAAATTAATCAGGCAATCTTTTGCCAATTGAATTTGATTTATTGCAAACCCTATATCCTTCGAAATAGTTTGAAATTTTGTACAAGCCAAACTTGTTATCAATAATATTTTATCCAAAACACAAAGTGATAAAATAAAATAAAATTTTTCTATTCTAAAGACTATGAACTAGCCATAGTGGAAGTGGCATGATCTTCAGAATCCTTTAAATTTGTTAAAGCTGCCCTCAAGGCATCATAAAGTAGAAAAAAATTACAATAGCTTTATATGACGTTAGCCAGCTTCTATCTAAACAAATAAGATAACCGAGTGATATTCTTGATGCCTAGAAATGTTGACAGTGCATTACTCTGATGAGAATCTCATTACACCATTATATATAAATCTTGTCTAATATTCCTAAAACATTTCGCAGTTCTTTTATTGATTGACATAATTGAACAATGATTAAATTTAATCGATGACAATAGCATCAAATAAAAGCTGCCTTTGGCGACTCCGCTCTAATCAAAGCCTGCACTACATTGATTCTACCAATCATGTTTGAGACGCCATCATAGCTTTGCCTAACTAGGAATTCAAGAGGTAGATACATGGAAAGTTTAGATATATTCTTTTTAATATCGAGACCAGTTGTATATCCCGTACAATATATGTCTATCAGTCTTTCAATGGGCTTAGGCGTCTCACTATTTTCAACATATCTTACTATCAAAGCTATTGCTTCTGATTTTGAAACATCATATGTGCCATAAACTATGATTGAAGAATACTTGTTAAATTCAATCTCATTTTGAAATTTTTTATTACCATATTTTTCATGGTTTCAATGAGAATATTTATGTTATTATATTATAATAGATTTGAATTAAATTTTGTTTTTAATCCCTTATTTTTTTCTCCCTACTTCATTTGTTGTATATATACATTTTGAGTACAGGTTCAGAATCTGCAATGAGTTTAATAAGGTCCATCATATTGTCTTCTTGTTGCCTGTTCCCCCAGAAGGCTTGGTTACAAGATATTAAATAACCTAGACATATTATTATTATTATGATAGAACGGTTATTATTCACACATTCTTTCTGGGGTATTAAATTGTAATATGGAATTTTTGTTGTGTGAAAGCCTTCCATAATCGGCCATCATATGTGCCTGTGAAGATTCATGCACAATAATATCACGATTAAATTTCATGATCATTATCAGAGTCAGATACTATATTTTCTTCTAACACATTTTCGTTATTATTAGTACACTTTTAAAAAATAATTATACTAATAAAAATATTTATTATATCAACAGCATTGAATTCCCACTTTTTACTTATTTTTTATTAAATTGCCATTTAATACCCTTTATAAGATAAGTATAAACAATTAAATATTTAATAAAAAATTTACTTTGATATTTGTCCAATTTTGAGTAATATTCTTAAAAGCTATTATTTCAAATTCTTTATATCATTAAAATTAAGCCCATCATGTCTTTTTCTAATGTGGTCTGTCCATTGATCATCTCTTATATTATGCGATGTGCAATTTTTAATTAAGCATTTATATTTTTTTTGGTTAATATTTTTAAATTGAAAAATAATTTATGACAAGAAATCTCGGATAACAACCTAATTTACTAAACATCGACCAAATTTTCCGTCAACACATATTAAATTATATAATTATTGGGGGGGGGGGGGGGTTCTTTTATTACATACATAAACCAGAAATCAATTGGTTATGGATGGATGTTACAAAAAAAAAATTCCTACTCAAATTTTTTAGAAGCAGTTGCTTCGGACCCTCCTCCCACGTTGTAGGGCCACTGCTTGTCATACTATCTCTCCTCTTCTAACATAGCATTATTTTTTTCCTTTAGAATGTATCACTCCTTTCACCCATCTAGATGTGGGTTTTCAAGTATTCCCCATTTAAATTTAAATATAACAAACATATTGTAATGTTTATAAAAAAACTAAAACATTTACTCTAAGGTCTCACTGAATCATATAAATACATTAACAATTGTTTGGAAAATTCTCACAATCTCCTAAACACCATCAATCACAATCTAAGTGATCTCGATGATAGTAGCCCTATCGATAATAATAACATTTGTAATAATTCTTCTCTTACACAACCCAAAAGGGCTGAAACCTTTGCTGGGTTTGACAGCAAAATTGTATTAAATTCTGGTGGCAATAACATTTTAAAAACATCAAATATTACTATACCGGACGTGGATAACAAGAAAAACAAAGATTTTGATTGCAATAATTTGTTACCTAGGGTGAAAAGCTTAAAATTGGCAAATGGGGAATCATTAATTTCCTCATCAATTTCATCGTCTTCCTCTATCTCCCTAAGAAGTCCCATCGATTCCGCTACATCCTCAAAAGTAATTTTTAAAAGATTAATTGAGATTTTAATACTGTAAATAATATTACAATTTTTTTTTATAAGGATAAACTAGATTGGTTTTTAAAAAGGTCACTAAGTGATTAAAAACTATATAATTAGAATGTGTAAATTAATCATATTTACAATTTTGAATTATTGTTACTCAAGACGTCTTTAATATCATCACCGGTTTCATCTTCTTCCAGCTGCAATATCAATAAAATGAACAAGTTTCCCGATAACTATATGTTGGACATCTTATTATTTCATCCATCGTTATCAGCTAGAAATATGAATTGCGAAAATGAAATTCACAGATTAAAACTCATTCAAACTCTAACTTTTATGCAGGTTTTTTCTCATACATTTTTTTTTTAAATATCACATTACAAGTATAACCTACTTTTGTAACTATTTCCTGCTACTTTAAACATTTTGATATTAAGCTCTGGAAATCCCCTTTTATAACACTATAAATTTCTGATTTCTATCATGTGAGATAGAAATAATATAGTACATCTACCAGAGCTGTTAAAGTATCTAAATGCAATCTGTTACATTTTTACAAAAGTATCTGTTTTTAGATAAAAAATTTTATCTATTTATACACATATTTTGATACACTTTAATTTACGTTTATTATATTTAAAATTTTTAATTATTCTTATTTTTTTGTATCAATTTTATTAAATTTCTGCCCGAGAAAATTTTTTATTTTGCACAATGGATGACGAAAAATGGTAGATATGGTATTAATAATCTTATATATAAGATGATATATTGGTGTTAATGATGGGGAACATGATTATAATAAAATATGTATAATTGTATCTTAAATATGTCTTAGGGAAATTTTATAGATACGTTTGAAAAGTCTCTTTTAACAACTCTGATTTATACTATGGGTAATATAAAAAAAATTGAATACTTTAAATTCAGGAAACTTTATAGGAATTTTTTTGCTGAGTATCCTAGTAGTTTGATCTTTTGAAATCTTAATTCACTCATTCAAAATATTTCTAATTATCCTGTTTCCATTCTAACCTTTAGCTTATAACTTCTCTTTTATTTCTGCCATTTCATTAATCGATGTTTTATTTCGTATGTTTAGATATCTTACTTTTTTCATAATTAGCTTTTCATTGATTATTCTCCTCTATCGTCCAGCGATATGCTCATCTTTCCTAGGGCTGAATCACAGATTTATATCATTTACCAATTTGAGTTTATGCTCATTATTATTACTCCGTTTTAACCTCGTCTTTTCACCCACCTTGTATTTTGTAAACAAACTACTATATGATTAGTATTTTAGTATTTTAATTTATTACTAAGTTTCGTCTTTAAATATTCTGGATTTTTCCTACTCACTACTCATATTTATGCATTTAATCCAGTAAATAAATCTTGATATAATATGAATAACTAATTTGCTATGGTTATAAATTTGATTATCTTAACTTATTGGTTTATGCGACCTCTAGCCAAACCCTTGCAAACGGAAGAATGGGCGGGATAACCGCGCCAGATCGCCTAAATTACTATTTTAGGAGCCACCAAATTTTATATCTTGACTTTAAAAGTGAATTGAAATTTTAAAAAATTATTTTATCTTAGAATAATATATAGCATATATATTACCTAATTCATATTTTAAGCTTCTTACGTGTTCCATTTTATACCTAGTTAATTAATTTCTATTTTTTTAAAAAGCCTATATATTGGGGTTTTTTAAAGGGCCACCTGATTCATTTTTATACCGGGCTTCCAAAAGTCTTAGCATGCCCTGTCTCTGGAGAATCCAGCCTAATAACAGTGTCCCTTTTTCCTGATAATTTCTAGTACGATTAATTGAATCTAGGTTCCTTTTGAAACCATTATTATAATATATATTATTTTATTGCCATACTGTTTCCAAAGTTTAACTCAAGTTAGTGTTGTTAATTTGTTTAGTCGTAAAATTTACGACCCAATTTTGTGCTCAGGCCTGCTCTGAGCACAAACCCTGGGTTCATACCCGTGGTTTAGACTCGGGGTTCAGATATATCCAAATTGTTCAAATAAAAAATATTTACCAAAAATATAGAAACAGCAAAATGCATTGGCATTTTCTGAGGTTAAATAGTAAAGCCCTTCAAGCAACTCAACTTAGGGTTAAAAATATTTCAATCGGGACCACCTAGGGCTTAGAAATACCAAAAAAAATAGGATTAAAATGAGTTATTATGTTGGTTCGCTGAGCTATTATTTCCAGCTATACCATCCTAGTTCAGAATTAGATAGTAACTTTCTGGCTTAGTTTGTTTAATTTCATCGCTATTTTTTAAACATGAATTGATTTTTTTTCTAATTTTAGAAATGTATCTTAGACAAGTACATTTGATAACATTAGTTTCTAAATTCGGCAAGATTGAGCTGCAAAATTGAGCTTGAATAAGATATTTAGAATACTTTTGGATCGTTTTTATTTAGGGGGGAGGGTGGTTATAAATAAGCATCTTTTTGCCTGCCTATTCTGAAGTCAATATATATAAAATCTTCAGTTTAGACTTTTTATAAAGTTTGTCTAATGGCTAAATACAAGCTAACTCGGCTCAATCTTCTGGCGTTTGCCCGAAAAAAAATCCGTTATTGAGGCGTTTTAATTTATGTTAATTTCTTCCAAATTTGAGCCTCTATCTTTTTAAGAATAACCCCGAAAATCCAGAGTGATTGTTTTAGGTTAAAACACTTGATCTAGCCGATTTTTTAGCCGGCCTAAAATATATTTGGGTTGAAGAAGTTTAAAATTACAATTCTTGTTAAATTAAAAAAGAATTATAAGTTTTAATTAAAATAAATTTTTTTAAAAAAATAATGTTTTTCTCAACATTTTCTTTCATGTTTTAGTAAATATGTTATTTTAATTATTTTTGTAAACTAAATATTTGGGTTTTATTTTTAATTTAATCGTCAACGCCATTGTATTTTGCTGTTTCTATATTTTTGGTAAATATTTTTTATTTGAACTATTTGGAATAACATTATTTATCTTAACTCCGAGTCTAAACCACGGGTCTGAACCCCACGTCTGTGATCGAGGTTCGTGTTCAGAGCTGGTTTAGTCGATTTTAGACCCAAACCCCGGGTCTGGGTTTTACACAACCAACCAATTAAACACTAACAGTAATTCTCCTCTTAGATATTTTAATTTCACTATGTGTTCCCCCCCTTCATTCACAGATTAAGACGCATAAGTTTGTTTTTCCTAAATTCTATTTATTTACATGTATCAAAATGTTTAGAACCATATCTTAATCGAATAACCATTATGCCTTAATTATTATAACCCAATAGCCCTAAAAATCAGATTTTCTTAAGAAATTTCTAACTTATAACAATACCATCACCGTTTTATGTTATACCATTATGGCACAACTTATAGTTATTACAATCTTGATTAGCCTTTCCATTTTATTTCTATATACACTATTCACTTGAAAATATATTATTGTTATTGTTCACAGTGGTGTAACTGGAAAGGGGCAAAAGCCTTTTAGTAAGCCGAAATAAATAAATAAATAAAAGGGGACTTTTAGCAAGCCTAAAGAGCTATCTATGTCACTATATTTTATTTGTCTCAACCTTATAATTAGTCTTTAGAATATTATATTGTTATGGAAATTACTTTTTTGTATATTAAATATATGTTTTTTTAGAATACTATCAATCACGAAATCACCAACCAGACAAAGTAAATCGCCTGATATATTTTATATCCTATGATAAATATTTTATTATTATAATATTGAAATTGTTTTACTATTTTATTATCACAATTTTTAAGTGTGGGTTTTTTATATGGCATCACATAATTACAAGGTTCTAACCCGGAGTTTGGAACCTTGGCAAATCTAGGAACCATGACAAGTCTCTTTCCGATATCGGTTATTAAAAAAGGTTTCAATTTATATGACGATTCTTTAGTTTCTAAAATTTTAAAAAGTGATGTGGGTTTTGTTCTTAAATTTGACACGGTTCCGAAAGTTCTGGTTCTAAACTGTTAAAGTAATCAAAAATATAATTAAATGATCTCATAATATGTTAAACAATTTACTTGTACACTTACACTATTGTTAGAATCAATTCCGGAACCGGTTCCCGGAAATTTTAAAAGAATATTCTAGTTTAGGTTTCTAGATTTGTCCCAGTTTCGAGGGTTTAGGTTCCAGCAATGATAGTTATTTTTATAAAAATTATATTATTTCGCTCAAAATAAAAACTATACGCTCAGAATTTTTTTCCTTAATTGCTAAGAATTAGAAAATACTTTAAGCTAAAATATTTTTACTGAATTTCACAGATATTTTTCTTAAAATCTAAGCGATTTTCTGTGCATATTTATTTTTTTTAGCCTTATATTTTTTAAGGCGTTTCAGTTTTATACCTTCGCATTTAGTATTTTTTCTGGACAATTAAGTTTTTTATCTGAGCATTAAGAAATCATTCTGAGAATTCAATATTTTTTCTGTACGTTAAGTATTTATTCTTAGCATTTAAGGGATATTTTTCTGATTTTAATTTTGAGCGATTTAATAGGAGCCCATTTATAAATCTTTAATTCACTTTGCAATAATTATTTTGATATTATAGGCTGATAACGGAAAACCAAGACCTTAAGTGCAAATTAAATAAGTACGAGATGGAAAAAAATGACCGAAAATCATACAGTTGGCACAGCCAACCATTAGAGGAATTGAGAAATATCCAAGAATCTGTGAGTAAAGAACGAGAAAATATCAAAAAAGAGAGCGAAAGTGAAAGAGCGGCCCTATCTGCTGAAAGGAAAACTTTGACAACCCAAATGGAAGAATTAAAACTCATGAGGGTATTCATTTGTAAACTCCTAATTATGCTTAACAAATTATAAAAATTATAGGGATTAAGTATAATTTTTATATATTATAATAATATTAAATTTAGGACTAATTACCAATATATCATTTATACAATATTTAACTGCCCATCATTATAATGTGTTGTTTAAAGGAACGATTAAAAGCTGATCAAGATCTAATCGAAGCTCAAAAAATGACTATACACCAATACTGGGCTGATATAGTAAACCATAGAAGGTCTGGCTCCGGCAATAATAATCTTTTATCAGATCCTTGCAGTGTTGAACAACATAATAAGCTAAAATCTTTATCAACTACCCATAATTTACAATATTATCATTCAAGGTCCAAATCTTACGAAGATAATCCGCATCTTATAGGTTAGTCAGACTAAAGTGTACTGATATATATTTTTTGTGAATTATTGGAATATCCAATGATAATGCTGGGAAACAAAAAATATTAATTTTTGGAAGTGAGCCAAATTTTTACATTTTTATATCTTAGGTTGAATTTATAGTAAAGGAAATGCGACTTAGCAAATTATATCGATTATGCTTAATTTTTCTTTATTAATATTATATTGACATCTTTAATTCCATTCTTGATAATTTGAGGATTATTTGATATAGAAGAATTGATTACATCAAAAATTTAATAAACTCGATCAGTTATTAAATCATCTCACATTGTGCTTACTATAAATTAGCAGGTTATATAAGATTCTAAAGAGATTATATTTGATAATTGTTTTAACACTATTTAATTCTCTAACACGGGAGGGAGGTGAAAATTTCTTCATTAAAATTTCGGGGGCATGGCGGTATTTTCTTATCTAACATATCCTCAGTTTCCATTTTATATTTTAATCATCGAAAAGGTGATGGGGGGGGGGGGGGGGGGTGGTTGTACATCATAAAAAAATTTGAGCTACGAATAACAGTAATACTTTTTAAATAAAACGAAAAACTCCCAGCCCTACCCAACTACTTCATTTTAAGATAATTGGGGAAAGTAGTGTAATTAATGATTGGGCAAATTATTAAAAAAAATATATATTCAAAAAGATTTACCCTCATCTCTTCATGGCAATTGTATCAATATATTAGACGACAAATTATCTCATAGCCATCCATTTCCTAGCCATCTTATATCAGCCACAAACGAAAGGAAAATTTTTTTCAACACACCACATTATCCATCTTCTCTTGAAAATATAGACTATCAGAATTGTCCTTCCACTTCAATTTCGTCACATTTAGGTTCTTCTTATTCGTTTTCCTTCAAAAGATTTCAGGATTGGAAAGATCATCATAATAACAATAACAACGCAACTAACATATCTATATCTCACCCCCCAACCTCCTTCTTATCCAATCTAAGCAGTATCAAACAACCAAGTCGTGGTGCAAGGAGTTTGGCTATATCTTCCCTGGCTCATCAAAGCGTTAAATTCCGGGACAAGAAGCATCAAGCCTCGTCCATTTCTACTTCTGGCTTATTTCCCAATAGCCACAATATTCCTTTCAGCCAATTCACTCAAAATAATTCTAACAACAAAATACCTCCCATATCGGCTTCCTTTTCTCATAATGCGATTGCAGCGAGTAACAAAATGAATAACAATATTTATGGTGCATCTAACGTAACTGCCGGAGGGTCCTTTTTTCAAAAAAGCAAAACCCAGATAATATCTTCATCTACTCATAGGTCGTCGTCTAACCTACTCCCGGTTAACAATAGTAACATTTCCAAAAGCGGTAGCAATAGTTCACAAATTTTGCCTATGAAACTAGCGTGCACCCTCGACAACTCGTCTTCCAACATTTCAAGTGATATCATCCAAGTTCATAACGAGACGCCATTATATAGCAAACCCTTGTTGATGAACAAGCAATACATTAAACATCCAATTACATCATTATTTCAAAATAATGTGCAAGCACTCCATGCAAGCGTGAGTTCTTTAAAGCAGCCTAATATTTTTTTAAACGATAAAAACGAACCATTGGTAAATAACCATTTTAAATCAAAATCTAACATTAGTTCTCCTATAAGTTTCTCCGTTAATAATAACGAAAAAGGAGAAAATGATCCAGATTTACCTTCAGATGGTTATAGCAATTCGCTTTTAGCCACATCGAGTCACAAATATACTCAATCTATATATTATTTTTAATGATTTAATAAATCATCGTAATTTTATCTTCATATGAGAATATCATTTCCGATTATATTACTGTTAATTATAATTCATTTTGATGAATTATTATAATTTGTACTCATCTGCATAATATATTATCTTATCGACTTAAAATATTCTAATTAAATCTATTTTTTACCTAATAGATGTTACTAAAATTGATAAGCCCCCCCCCTCTTCCAACACAAATTTAACCAAATTTTAAAGAAATGTTATTATTTAGTGTCATATTTGTATTATTTATTTATTTTTATGATACTTTTATTTAATTTATACATAATATCCTTTTGTAATATTATTTATCTCGTATTTTGTAAAAAAAAAAATATATATTTAAATCTTGCAATTTTATATTGGGAAAATTTTATTATTTATTTTTATATCTAACGAGCAAATACCAATAAAATATTTGGTGGAATTGCTTTAAACATAATCTTATATATTTTGTTGATTCTTAACCATTTCCTTTAACCAGGATCCTGAAGGAATCTTTGAATAAATTGATTTAATTGAAAGTTCCCAAAAATATCGAAAATTTTATTATTACCCAAAAAAAATTAAGATTAATTAGTAAAGTTATTATAAAATTATTATATCAAGCAATATAAATTTTATTTCTAACTTATCAAGATATATATTTTTTTTTTTAAATATATTTCAGCGAAAAAATCATGACCATTTAATATTCTGATAGAAAAGCGTAAATTTTCTTGTGAGGCTTGGCAAACCCCAATTTCAAACATATTGATTTCTATTAATTATAATTTTGTATGATTATATAATATTTACTCAAATAGATAAACAATTGAACGGAAAAAAAAGAAAGAACAAAATTATGCTTGGATAAAAAAATATGAATTGTTTATATAGCCAGAGTCTATATCAGTGATATGCCACAATAAACTTATACCCACGAATGACGCATTAAAACAAGGTTGAGTTATGCCATTATTTAGAGTCTTAATAGCACTCTATTAGGACATCAGCAGAATGATCCGCTTGTGAGTTGTGAACAAAATAAGAAAGTGTTGTGGCCAAATCCAAAAATAAGAAAGATCATGTTCTGAAACTAGGCAATAAAGTAGTATTCAATTTACGCTTTAAAAACCGCATATCCGTATCACTTACCGTAATCGAGTTATATCCATTTATTTGAGAAGCGTGAAGTAGGCGGAATTTTTGTAGAGGTGCAATTACCAATAGGCATAGTTGTTAAAGGGTCAAATCAAAAGATCGCCGATCCTAAATTTGTCAATTTTCTCGGATTTAAGATCCTGACCTTAAATTGTGGATCGTGATCGAGATCATTTTTTTAAATATTCGATCCCGATCCTTTTAAAAATTATTTTTTTACTTAAAAAGCAATAAATAAAATAAAAATTTTGAAAATTAAATTTAAATATTATTTTTAAAAAAATATCTATCTACATCATATTTTATAAATCACCATTCCACCAGATTTTAAACAATTTCCCAAATTTTTTGTAAGAACAAGTTATATTTATTTATTAATTATATTATAATATAAATTCTAGGTTTTAATAATGTCCTCCATTATAGATTTAGAAGATTTTACATCTACTTCTATTGATGTGACAACAGATATAAGTGAGAATGAGAATCTTTTACCAAATAAGAATTTACTTTATGTGAAACAGATGGAAGTAACCATACAATGATCTATGCAAAATGCTCTTTATGCAAAAACAAAATATTTTCTTCAAAGATTAGCAGTTTAAACCTAAAGAGGCATTTAGTAGTAATTAATTCTTTTAAAAATACAATTTTTATTATTTCTGAAGATCATAACAATAAGCATATAATAAAAATTATAGATTTCCTTCACTATATAATGACAGTAATATATTGGCATCAATAATACACCCAAAATTTAAGCTCAATTGGCCTTATATTAATCTGCCACAAAATTTGTTGCTAAAAGAAAGGTTAATTACCCATTTAGAAGATATACAAGGTCAACCATATGCACATCCTTCAAATGAATGCATGGATTCGATACCGTTTTCGGGAAAAACTCGTCACAAAATGCTTTTTCCATTAATAATTTTTTTTATTCTAATGATGATTCAGTGAATATTTTTAATAATTATGTTAATTAAAAAAAACATTTATTGAATATAACACACCTTTACCATCAAGCGCTCCTGTGGAGCGCTTATAGTAAAGCTAAACATGTACTTAATGAAAAATGTGGTTGTTTAAATGATGATAATTTAGAAAAAATTTTATTATTAAAGGCTAACTTAATTATAAATAAATATATTCTAATTGTCATACTTATATTATATTATTCAATTGCAATAAATAATTTTGCATCGATCAGAAATTTAAATAATAAAAGGATCGTGATCGTGACGCGATCCTTTTTTTAAAAAAAGGTCTATCCTGGATTTCGATCCTCTTTTTTTTCAAAAGATCGTGATCGGGATTCGATCTTTTTAAAAGGATCGATTAACAAGCCTGCCAATAGCTTTGCCAATGTATAGCCCTTTAATTGAACCTCAAGAATCTTTTAACCGTATATTAGCAGAATTAATCGCTTGTGAGTTATTTACAAAATAAGAAAGTGCCAAAATCGAAAATAAAAGAGATCCTGTTCCTAAACTAGGCAATAAAGTAGTATTCAATTTGCGCTTTAATATTCTCAAAACTCATATCCGTATCACCTACCATAACTGAGTTATATCCATTTATTTGAGAAGCGGATTCTTTGTAAAGTGAGGTGCAATTACTAATAGCTATGCCAATGTGTAGCCCTTTAATTGAACCTCAAGAATCTTTTAACCGTATATAAGCAGAATTAACCGCTCGGAGTTATTAGCAAAATATGAAAGTGTTAGCACTTTGCCAAAACTGAAAATTAAGCAACCATTTTTAGTTAAGGCTAATATTTAGTGCCTTAAATTCTCCGTATTCTTCAAACGGAAAGTTAAAAAATAAAACTGAAGTGAGTTATTAGTTAAGATTTATATCATTCATCTATCCTCCGTTGGTGGAAGTACTTTAATTAAGCCAAAATTAAAATAAAAACATTATTATTTAAATATAAAAAATGGCGTCAAACTAAAACAAAATCTAGAATAACTACAAACATATTTTGCCATTATTTTGTGAATAATTAATTTAAATTTCATAATTTGAAAATCTAGTCAGCGACACATCTTTTATTATTTTTCTTTGATATCGGTAATATAAAATTCAGCTGGGTACATTGGCCTTTATGACATTTGTACCAGTCGCTTTATTATTTAATTCATGCCAAATTTCATATGTAAGATATCATATATGTTTAGATAATGCGAACAATGTAGAATATAGTAAATCTATGAAACACAGAATCACAAAAATAAAGAATAATTTATTATAATTGCATATATATTTATTTGCGCAGACATGATGTCGTTCTAATTATAATTGATGTAAATTTCAGCGTTTAAGTTACGTTATTACTAAATATCACCCAGGGTATCTATAAAGATTATATATTATTTGTATGAGCTATATATCGTTCGAATTTCGATAGAGATATATTAGGATGTGCACAGCTTGTTTTACATTTAAGTGCATGATTGAATCCCTCGAGTTAGTTGTTAGTGCTGGGTCCATCTACATGATACCTAAATTAAATATTGAAAAATATTAATGAATATAATTATTTCAAGTTTTTATACCTCGTCCATATAGTATTAGGGAATAACGCAGTTTCACCAAGTCACATGTATGTAGTCCATAAAACGAAGTAGGGATAGATTGTGAGTTGCCATTTAGTAGCAAGATAAACGAACCTCAGCCATATGCTCCTCCTTGCAAAATGGTAAAGTTGTCATCCGCCTAACAACTATATGAACATGAGAATATTGAGGTAGCTTCTAACTAAACACAAAGCCTGACATTTCCCCCATAAAGTTTGAGATGATGAAAAAAGCATTCTAAACACTTTTAAAATGTACATAAATTATAAATTAACCTTTGATCACTATATTTGGAAATAAAATCTAAGAGCAGAATGCAATCACATTATTATTAAGAACAAACTACAGCCTATACTTCAAATGTTGGATGTTATTAAATTAATTTGAAAATTAGATAATTTAAATTCGTAATTGCTTATGCATGACAATTGATTAATTTATCTGTTAGATTAAATAATAGGGTTTTTTACTCTCGCTAGGGCATCTCGTATCTCTTATATAAATGAGGAAAAAGAAAATGTATATACCACAAAAAATAGAGAAATTACAAGTTTTTAAATATAGCAATGAAATTTTATTCTGGATAAAATGTCGATATAGATGTATTATAATTTTTATATAATGATCCTACGGTCCTTATTCTGAAAATAAAATTCGTTGTAGTAGAAAAAGAGACCGTCAAGAGAAATAGTGGTTAGGAATAGTGAAGAAAAGTGACCAGGGACGTAATAATAAAGAATTGTTGATATTGTTATGTATTGTTGCATCCGTGCTGATTCTGTTAATTATTTCTTAATGTTTAACGTTGAAAGTGGTGAAAATATTCTTGGTCAAGTTAATTATAATCATTTTATAAATATATTACAAAATATTTAAAATATATTTAGTAGTAAATTAAATAATTTGGATATAAAATTTTTAAAGAAAATTTTTTTTTTAATTAAAATTTGGAAAATTATAAATGAAAAGTTTTAAAATAGCGAAATATGTGGAAATACAATATAATATACTGGGCGTGGTGGTGTTACTGATTTGGTTAGGAAGTTTATACTTCGGAAGTAAGGAGCGCTGTAGCAGGAGTATGAAAATACGTGGGCAGACACTATTAATTGAAGGTCATAATGGAGAAGAGTAAGGTATGGTAGAGTAACATGGTTGCCGGTGCAGGAGATGTTGCAAGGATGGGCAAGTAACGAAGATTTGAAGATGAGCGTAGAGGGGAAGGGAGAAGAAGAGACATATATCGAGGTCGAGGAGAATCATCAGGGATGTTTAGAGCGGAATAAAGGAATAAAAATATTGTTTGTTTTAAATGCGGGGGTAGAGGGCATATGGCGGTGAATTGTAGAGATGTCAAATGTTTTGCATGTGGAGAAAAGGGTCATATTTTAACGTATTGTCTGGGTAAAAGAGAGAGATTACGATGCGCCGGATGTGGAAGATTTGGGCATGCGGAGAGTAATTGCAGAGTTGTAAGGGTAGAAACCTTAGGAGGATTTTCACAGAGAGGAGAGAATTCGAATGCTATTAATGTGAGAAGTATGGTCGAGGTATCAATAAAAGGAGAAATGTGGGCCGATGCAAAATTATATGTTTCAAGTGCCGTGAAGAAGGACATTGGGCGAGGGATTGTGATAGGGGATGACTATATGGCTGTGGGGAAAAGAGAATTCAGGCCGAGGAAGAGAGAATGGAGGGGCGAGAAATGGTTATGAAGATGTTGCGGGAGGAGGGTAAAGAGGAACAAGTTTATCTTCCGAATCCGAAAGTATTGTTTAATATAGATGGGAAAATGATATCTATGTTGTTTGATACAGGAGCGGCTATTTCGGTAATGGGATATGAAGATTTTAGAAGACTTTGGCCGAATAGTACAATAATTAGGGAGAGGATTCAAGTCAGGCAATTTTATGGATCCGAAATGGAGATGATGATCCGACATGGAGATGATGAGTAAAGTGAGAATAGGCGATGTAGGGAGTGACGGATGCCAACTGTTGGATTTGTGGATAATTAATAGAAGAGTAGAGCCAGTGATGGGATGGGACTGGATTACGAGTGTTGGGCCGGAATATAATTTGGGGAGTATTTGCGCAGTGGAAAGTATTTATGGCCGTCAAAGAAGACATCAGAGAGGACATTATAAAGATGGTCAAGGAGGATGAAGAAATTTACAAGAGAAATGGTGAATGGATGGAGGACCGAGACAATATACAAGTGGATGAGGGAGCATCCATATTTTGGAGAGAAAGGGAAGGGATAACAATGGAGGATCATGTAGAGGAGGTGAGAGAAGGTCAAATGTTAAGGAATATGGAAATGGGATGTTCAACAGTAACAAAGGAAAAAGTTGTACCACAGGTGCGAGGTGTTGAAAATGGAGAATTACAAGGGAAGAAGTTGCAAGAACAAGGAAGAGAAGTAAATAGACCAGAGGAGTCTGTGGGGGAGTTGGAATTTGTGAAAAAAGGAGTAGAGCGATTAACCCAAGAATATGATGAAATTTTTGGTGAAGACTTGGGTTGTTTGAGGGACTATGAAGTGGACATACGAATGAAGGAGGGATGTGTACTAAAATATTGTGCTGTGCGTAGAGTACCTTTTGAATGGAGGCAGGAGGTAGAGAAAGAGTTGGATCGTTGGTTAAAGGAGGGCATTGTGAGTCCGGTGGAGTACAGCGAATGGGCGACGCCTTTGTTACTCGTAAAGAAGGCCAATGGGAAGTTGAGATTGTGTGCGGATTTCCGGGTATAGAGATAGATAATGTCTAAATATATATATATATATAATAATAAAAATACTCCATAAGTATGGTGAACCGTGTAAAAAAAAAGTAATAGTAACATTGTTCATTGTTTTTCTAAAGCATAAGTAAAAGTGTTGGTAAAATAATAAAAAATAAAATTAAATAAGTAAGGAATACTGGCGGAAGAAGAATACGGTGGTGGAAGAGGAAGAGGCTGTCAAGTGGAATTAATGATAGAGAATTGGCGGAATCGTATAAAATTGCGGGATGTCGATAACGAGGATTGAACAATAAGGGTAGTGGAAGAAAATTTGGGGCGAGGATCGAAATCGAATGAAGATGAATAATATAACTGTTGAAGGGATATTGATAACGAGGATCAAACAATGTGGGTGGTTGAAAGGGAGACAAATAAAGGATGTGGTTACTGTTGTCGGTATGGTAGGATAAAAGGAAAAGGAAAAACTGGGTCGGGATTTTATGATTATAGAAGGGAATAATCTGGTTAATGAGACATGTAATCGTTGCATTGATAGAAGTTTTAATTTATTAAAAAGAAGAGAATTTTTTTAATATTTTTTTTTTAAATATAAGGATGAAAGTTTTGTTATTTGTGTATTGATAATGTTGTTAAAAGTGTAATTGAGTTATGAAAAGTAAAATAAATAAAAGAAAAAATTTTTGTTTGTTCAAAAGAAGAAAATAAAATTGAATAAACATGGTTAATTGAAATTATATTAGTATGAGAAAAGAAAAAGAAGCAATAATGGGGTAGAGAAATTTAAAAAAAAAAATTTTGTTCAAAAGAGAAAAATAAAATTGAATAAACAAGGTTAGGGGATATTATTTTATAATTATAAAAAAAAAAGGAATAAGCAAAGAAAAAAAAAATTTGTTTGAAGGAATTGGAAGCGATGGGGAGCGAGATGATTAATGTAGTGACAACCGAATTAAATTGGATTAAATTAAGAGAGAAAAACAAAGAGAAATAGTGATTGGGGTAGAGAAATGTTGTCTTTCCAAGGGAGTATGAGATTGATAGTTTAACATAAGAGAATATTGGAAGTAGATGATTAAAATTTTAATAAATCTTAAAAATAGAAAAGAGAAACAGCAGAACAAATTATATTGGTGTAGAAAAGCATTATCGTTTGAAAGAAATTTATATTTTGATAAAGAAGCAGTTATTCTTGCAGAAAAATTCGTACATTATTACCATTGTAACGACATAAGTGTATTATTAGCTGTATTTAGGTAGAGTAGGGGCGAGAGGGCGAAAAGAATTTTTGTAAAAAAAGAAAATCGGGAAGATATGAGGGTAGTTAATTTCGAATATATGAATAGGTATGTCGATTTGGGAACGCATCTGGCGAGGACGACGATAATTAGCAAGGATATGGAGCCACTAGCTAGCGAGTGGAGAGCATTGGCCAAACGAAGCGAAGTCTGGGAAGTCAAACGAAATAGGGCTGGAGAAAAACTGAAGATCTGAACTTGTGTTATGGCTGTGGACAAGCTGAGAACGCCGGGCACGGAACGGGGAGTGAAAAAGAGGAAAGAAGAAGAAAGTCGTTCAAGAAATTTCGGGGGATGTGCCGGAGCTGAGAGTAGGGAGAGAAGAATACCAGCAATTATTCGGGCCGCCAAGGTCTGATAAAGGGGGGAAATGTTCTAAGTGAGTTAGTATTGGGGGAGATGCCGACGTCAATATATATTCAATTATTTTAGAAACTAATGATGACTAGTATTTATTTATATTTTCATTTTATTTTTATAATAATTAAATTTGGCTAAATTATTATGATCGCGTGTTTAATTTTTGTTTGATACGATATTTTTAGATATATAAAAATTAGTTAGGATATACTCATGATGATATGAGTTTATTAAATTATTTGTGATGATTATTGCGTCTCTATAAAAGGGAAGCGAAATTGTAATTTTTTTACAGTTGAGTTTTTTTTCGCTTTAAAAATTATAATATTTTTAAATAATATTAATAAAATAGTTGAATTTGTAGTATCTAGTTGAATTTGTAGTATCTAAATTAGTCTAAATAAGCGGGCAACGTAATAAAAATATTATTCTTCGCAGTATTTTATTTAACAACGGAAACAAAGGCCACTAATTTTTTTAATTTTTAAATAACTATCGTTATTGTATGAGTCAAATAGCCCAAATGCATTTTTTCTTCAAATTTAAGGATTTTACTAAGTTATATTATATAAAATAAAATAATTAATATTGCAATCAAATGTCGTTTTAAATTGGAACTTGAAGATTTTGAAACTGATGTAAAACTTTTTTGGCACATTTTACATTTGGTAAATATTGAATTCCTTTGATATAGGATGTTACTGTAAAATATTTAACATATTTGAATCAGGGCAATGTAAATTCATCTGATTTTAAATTTTCAGAATCAGAGGATGATAACGAAATAATATCCATGATTACACTAATCTATTGAAATAAAATATAAACAATATTTAAATTAATAAACTATAATAATGGCTTGTTAAAAAAGTGAAATGTGAAAAAGGAAAAACAGCTGATTAAAAAATATGAGACTTTTTCTTTGAAAATTCGAATTAATATTAAATTTTTTAAATAAAATTAAAATGTGTTTTTAAAATTGAACAAGGTTAAATTCGAACGCGTTCGTCATAAATAAGGAACATTCAAAGTTAATCAAAAATAAAAGGAAGGCCGTTCATCATTTTTTTCAAAAAAACGATCTTGGTTCACGAACGTGTTCGTTTACAACACTAGTTATTATCATATCTCATTTATGGGTATTAATCCCATATCACGAACGAGATGGTCGGTATCTGATGAATCTTTTATCGATATCGAAATTCCGGTCATAATTCAAGACTATAATGGTGGTATGAGCGGGGTGAATTCATGCTCTATAGACGCCACATGAAACAGAAAAATAGTAAACATGTATCTCTTTTAGTATTTAAAGCTCAGATAGCTAAAGGATTGATGGTGTTTGGAAAAGAAAATGATAGAAAAGAAGGTAGACTTACTTTGAAGATTGAAAAAAAGAAGGATCATTTTCATCCAATCACAGATATTAGATTTGATAAAACAGGTGATTGGTCAAAGACTTTTCAGTCTGCAAAATATTTTTTACAAATTGTTCAACCCAGCCTGTAATGATTTCTTTATGAAGCTTCTTTTTTTTGAACTTTAAGCCTGGCCAATAAAAGTATTTTGCACCTTCCATATCAAACATTTTTATAATGCAAGAGATGTTCTATAATCAAAAATAGGTCAAATATATTGCTAGTTACTTATTTATTTGAAATTTAAGCAAAAAGGAATTTACATAAATGAAAAAAAAATTAATTATAGAAAAGTTTTTTGAGAAAATACTTTCAATCACAAAAGATCATTATCACCCATAAAATTATCATTTATATTTAAATATTTTATTTTAATAAATATCATATAAATAGATTACAATTATTCTGCAAAAATTTTTTTCCAGTTAATTAAAAATCATATAAAAAATATTTAAAAAACCATTCATATTAAAAACACATCAATTAGTGGGCAAAAGTTTATACGGTGTGATATAATTTATCTTGTCAATTTTTTTAAAATATATTAATAAATAAGTAATATTTTAATAGTCATATTAACTATGTTTTTGATGACTAATTATGGTATAATTTAAATATAAATACATAATAATTTCATAATATAATCTGAACATTTATAATAAATAAATATAATCAATATAAATATAACAAAGTAGATCAATTAAAGGTCCTTGGTTTTAAATATTTTTGAGAAATGTGAGTGTAAGTGGATAATCTCAATTAAACATAGATGATTCATAGCTAGTTAGAAGTGCAGCATCAACTGGTTCCATACAAGAAGGGCAAGTAAATGATCGCATTAGCCAGTCATCAATACATTTTGAATGGTATATATGCATACAAGGTAGATAACGTATTTCTTCATCTTTCACAAATTCAACCATACAAATCACACATCTTTTCAAATTTATTAGGATTATTTAAAATATCTTAAATTAATTTAATAATATATATTTTACTACATTATAATACAAATATGGATTTAACATCAGTTTTTTTAGTAAGTTCAATGAATATATATTTAAACTTATAGTAGTATGGTAAGGATTATTTCTATTTGTCATAGAGATAAACAAATCCTAGTTATTCTTATATTTACCTTTAGCCAAAGGCAAATTAATTCAAAAAGGAATATACTTAATATTCATGATTAATTTCCAAGTTTAATATTTCCACAATATTGATAAATAAAATCAAAAATATAATTAACTATTATTAAATATAAAATAATCAAATATGCAATTGAGTGATACTTGCAGTATCAGTTAATACCAGGGATCCAAACCGAACCGTTAAAAACCGATATTTTTTATCAAACCTGAACTGAACCTAAACCGCTAAAAAAATTCTAGCTGAACCTGAACCAAACCGCTAAAATGCCTCTGAATTGGTTCGAGCCTCATGATTTTATTCTTATAAAATAATATGTAAGTTATTATTAGCATTTTAAAAAAATTTCAATTATATTCAAATTATTTTAAAGATTATTATCAAATCACATTTGATTGATAAGTGTCTGTCCTAATTTTTATAAACTTTAGTATATTGTCATTTTCAACATTTTTTAAATATTTCAAGCTTATAAATTATAATGCTTAGAGAAAAATTAAATCCAAAATATTATTATTATGACATATCAAATCTGATATCATATTGGCAGTGCCGGCTACCCAAGTTAGTGTTGAAAGATGTTTTTCAACAATTAAATTTATATTATCTCCTTATAGGTGTAATTTGAGTTGGACGAATTTTGAAAATATATTAATTGTGCGACTTAATAAAAAAAATTTAAGTAAAAAAAAGTAAAATATTGTTCATATTAAATTACATTGATATTTATTTTTATATTTATAAATTAAATATTATTTTATAATGTGCAATTAATAAAAAGTTTTATTGTTTTTTAAATTAATGATAAAATAAAAAAATATTTTCCCTATACAAAATTCGAAAGTAGGGTTGAATCAAAAACGTTCAAACCAGTTTTTAGAGGTTTGAACTGAACCGATATTTTAATTTTTTATGAACCGAACCTGAACCATTATTTTTATCCAAACCTGAACCCAAACCAATATTTATTTCAGTTTGGATCCCTGGTTAATACTTTCATTTTTAACTGATGTCCATTTTTTTAATGCCTGCATTGCCATAAATTGATAAAAAAATTATAAACAAATTTTTAAACAGATAAGAAAGCATTGTATTGTTAATAATTTTTTCCTGCTTTTACTTGCTAAATTTTGTTGCAAAATAAACTTTATTAGGCCATGTCCAATCAAAAAATTTGATTGCAGATTTTTAAAACTTTATCAAAAAAAAGAAAGCTTTTTTTAAATATAAAAACATGTCAAAATATAATTTTAGAAAATTTCAAAAATTTAACATATGATTTCATTATTATTTTAAACCTTTTAATACTATTCAAATTTTTAAAAAAATTTTTTTGACATATATACTTATGAAGAATAAGGACATACAATTAAATTAATTATGACTACATGTTTCATTAACATTGAAAGATATTTTAAGAGTTTAAATTAATAATCATAAATATATTTGTGGTGATGGTAATAAAAAAATTTTTTTTTTCAAAGGAGTATATTTTAAAAAATTGGCATTGTTATCACATGGAGGTGTGTATATATCACTCTATTTGCTTTTAATTAAAATAAAACAAATAATTTTTTCAAACTCTTTGTCTATTTTGTTCAGATCATCATATTTGCCACGGGGCAAATGCTGGATCAACCCTATTCTCTTTGCAATTTTAACTTGTTCCTCCTCTGTAAGTTGATTCGCAGTTCTGGTGATATTAGGAGATGGATAATATATAATTGGATTGGAATTCTATCAATGACAATATTGAATTATTTTATATATAATAAATACCCTTTCATCAGTTCCATGATTTTGATTTATGTGATCATTGGAGTCTTCTATTAATAATGATTCGTTTTCTGATCTTGATATTTTAAGACAATTGCCCATTTTTATCCATTCTAACAATATTGTGAGTGTTTTGTAGATCCTGAGTTGTATTCAAGATATCATTATAAATAAACTATGAGTTACATTTTGAAGGAGTATTAATTGAAAAAGACAGTTAAATGACGGTTATTTATATTTATTTTAGAATTTTATTAAACTTAAATATTACAAAATTTAATCCATTCCAGTAGCGTCCGGGGTGGGAGGAGGGTGAGGGGACAAAATTTTGGAATTTTATATCCAATGTAATTTTGATAATTTTAGCTAAAAAAAAGAAGTAATTTTACAAATAATTTAAAAAATATGTTTTTTAGACGCATAAGATTGTAATGGCTAGTGACGCCCCTGATCTATACAAATATTTCTAAACGCCTTCCAATAGAAACCAAACTTTAAAGTAAAATAAACTTAATTTAGTTACTGTTTTAGTTATTGGATGGTAATGAATCCCTAACCCCCCCCCCCCCCACCTTCATTGAGAAACTCGCATAGTGTCTATATTAGAATGGGAAGGGGGGCAGTTTGCTTCTAAATTTTAAGGAAGGTGGATATCTACAGGTGGTAAACTAAATATTTTGAAGGGTTACGAATTAAATTTTTCGATAAAATATGGCAATTGATGTAAAAATTTATTTAATATTATTATAGACTTATTTAATATGCATAAATAGATTGCTAAACATCAACCTAACTTATATATTGCATACAATACAATCATAGTCGTTGAGTAAACTTATATTTGTTTTATAAGCGGCTCTATTTTTAAATTTAATTTAAAAGGAGGTAGACAATCTTATTCTTATAGCAAGCTTAGATCTGATCTCAGGGAACTCAGTTAAAAAAAATTATATGGGAGGCTTCGCCCCCTACCCCCTAATTTGCGGGCCTTTGGCCGTGTTTTATATTAATATATTATACATTTTTAAAATACGCTAATTCTAGACAGTTATTCTGAATTATTTTGTCATTTATAATATTTTGCATACAAAATAAACTAGCATATAAATATTTAAAACAATACAATAAATTTCTAAAAATAATATTTTTTAATACAAAATCTATTTAATACAGTATAAAATATTTTCGATTGCTGATATAAAAGAATTTTGCGTAAATAATTACAAGTGATAAAAAAGGTTAATTAATTCATATATATGCCTCAATTGATAATGGTTTTTAAAAACCACATAAGGCTATATAATTTTAGCAAGTTACATTGACAAAAGGTCATGACACTCACGATGGTAACCCATATCATAATTTATTATGTTAGATAGATTGATAAAATAAAAATAGTAAAAATCTTTAGAAGAAATTAGGCAAATATATTGTAGTTTTGAGTTATTTACACGGCAAGGATGCCATATTAGAAATGAAACATTTTTTAACTATAAAATAAGATCCAGAGTGATATGATTATTATAAACGGTGACAAAGAGAGGCTATTATAATATTATATATTTTATAACTTAAAGAACAAAAGAATTTATTTCATCTTCATCAAAATCTTAATCATCCGAATAATAATTTATTAACATATTCTTGATATCAAAATTTATAACAAAATAAAACTTTAATTACAACATCTCCCCACTTTAATCAAGCCTACAAGGTCATATTATATGGGAAATGATGTCTGTCGATTTATAATTTTTAAACACACTATATCTTTTTCATAAAATAATTTCTGGACACTACGGGTAAAGCAATCAGAACCATAACAACCTCTGACTACTGGCTATGTATTGTTCTCCATATAAACCAGATCCATTCTTTGAAATCACACGACCATAGTTATTAATAATACATACCTTGCATATGACATACACATACATCAATGCAAATATCCATAGTCCCTTACAATAATGATCTAGCATAGCATTTTTATATAATATTATGTTAACACAACAATTAAAATTTTAAAAATCATCGTCCACTCTTGTTGTTATCTTGTAACCTTCATCATTCAACTCATTCATCATATCACCCAATTGTTTGTTCCATCTTTGTACATATCTTATAAATCATTGTCCCCTCTTGTTGTTAACTTGTAATTCTCATCATTCAACCCATTCATCATATCACCCAGTTGTTTGTGTCATTTTGTAGATATCTTATAAATCATTGTCTATCTCGTTGTTATCTTGTAACTTTCATCCTTCAACCCATTCATCATATCACCCAATTGCTTGTGTCATATTTGTATCATCATCACCCAATTGCTTGTGTCATATTTGTATCATCATTCACTTGTTCACTCTAATTTTCATCTTCACCTTTGGTAGCTTTGTCTCCTCTTACTGTTCACTCCTCTTTTTTTTTTATTCCTTTTACTTTATCTTTTTTAAAAAAATTCTATTACCTTTTTCCATTTTTTTTAATTCATTTTTTTTAAATTCTTTTCCTTTCATTTTTTTTATATTCTTTTCTCTTTCATTATTTTTTTTTATTCTTTTCCCTTTCATTTTTTTTTATTCTTTTCATTTTTTAAAAAAAATTCTTTTCATCTTCTTTTTCACAATTATATCATATAAAATAACAATAATAAAAATATACTACATATGCAAAAATCTATGTAATATAAATTAATTTATATATCATATAAAATAATAATTATAAGAATATAATACATATGCAAAAATTTAGGTAATATAAATTTTTTTCTTTTTATATTTTAATAATCTGTTACATATTGTAAAAATCATTCATACCCAAAGTAAAAATTTATGGTCACCACCATATTTAATAAAACATCTCCAATATTTTCACTCTCACTGGTAAAATTTATGGTCACAACCAAATTAAATAAAACCTTTCAAATATTTTCACTCTCACTATGTATATATATATTCATAACTCCTTCATCTCCTTTCATTAACAATTACCCTTATATAGTTTCAAAAATATTTCCTATCACAAAACCATATCAAATCAACCTGTAATTGTTAATACCCACATACATTAATTTACAACAAAAAATAAATAAAAATATAAAACTAAAAAGAACTACAATATTTTTTATATCATTCATTTACCAAAATACTTTTACACATTTCAAAAAAAACAAAAATCCTAATTTAAAAATAATCATTACTTCATTTATATCTGGTCAACAGAACCATAATTAATTAATAAACCCAAAACTTATATATTTATCTTTCATTTAAATTCAATACATTCTTCCTCACTGTCGTATTTGTAAATACGTACATTTTATATTTTTTTGTTTACGCGAAATGCCAATCAACCGATTAAAATAAGGTTGATTGGATAGAAAAATTAGATGTAATATATTATATGTGGATTATTATTTATTTTTTTTGATGAAATTAATTAATTTTTATAAAAATTAGGGATATTTTTTTAAAGAAATGAATTTTCTTTTGAATAAAATTGTTGGATTTATATTGTAGTTTTATTTGTCTTTTGATTTGATAATTTCCTATAATTCTTGACGATTCGTTTGTTAGAAAGTTTGGTTGAGTTCCGGGAATTTGTTGGGTAGATTTAGATTTGTTTTAGTTTGTGTTTGTAGGTTTTTTTTTAGTGGTGTCTTGTGACGCTGATAGTTTCCTAGGAGTTATTCGGTTTAGAAGGTAAAACAAAAAATTTTTAATTATATAATTTTTTTAAGAATTTTTGACTGCGCATTTGTACTAATCATTATACGATTCTGATAGAGAAGTTTTTATTTAAGGTCCTGTATTAATATTTTCTACAAATATTTAAATTTTTGTAATTGATTATTAGTATTAATTAAAAATTTATGAGCAAATGGTTTATTTTTTTAGGCCTAGTGGGGAGCATAGTTTTGGGGATAAGATTCTCTTTTATAAGGAATTGGGTTATAAAGTTATGTATAAGAACTTTAATGAATTGGATTTAGGTAAACAGTTGATTACTGTGGGAATATTATTAATGATGTATTTATTGATTATTATATTGAAATTGTTGGTAAAAAGGGGTACTGCGGTACTGGCAGGCATGTATTGCAATTGGAAGAAGGACACTGCGGTGTCAGATGTTTATAAAAAGAAAATGGAGGAAACGTATTTTAATTTAATATCGGATATTTATGGGAAGAAAATAGCAGACTTGGAAAGTAATCTAAAAGATGTTTTAGAGGAAATCAAGGCTGGAAATGTTGGGGAGAGGTCAGATAGGATCCTCCTGGAAATGAAAGAAATGAAAGAAGCCATCAATGCGTTGATGAAGGAGAGCAAAGGTCCGGTTAAGAGCCAGGTGAGTGATAGAAATATGAATAAGAAATTTAATGATTACGAGGAAAATAAAAGATTTGTGGAAATGATCATTTGCCATCGTTGCGGATGGCGAGGACATAAAAGGGATACCTGCGTAGTCCCAGAGCAAAGGTTTAAAGATGGATTTCCGTTAAAGAGACCTGAAATAGGAAATGCTAATGTAAAAATGGTTAGTTTAAATGGGGCCAGATTATGTTTTAAATGTAAAAGGCCGGGACATGTAGCTGGGGACTGCATGGAAGTATCACGTAATTCGTGTTGACTATATGATTGGAAGGTGAATCATATAGGAGTCGGGGCTCCGAGAGTTCGGAAAAATTTGTATAATAAAACATTTAATATTATTAGTCGAAATGAGGGAAATGATAGAATTAAAATAAGAAATCATTCTCGTAATTTCCTTGAGAGGGAGGTTAGTCGATTTAGGTTGGAACAATATCCGAGGAATGTTGTTCGTTATTCTTTTAGAAGGGATGTTAAGAATTTTATTTGGGAAAGATGTCCCACAAATCTTGGTAAGAGAAATGTAATTGTCAGTAATAAAAATTTGAATTCCGAGTTGAATTTAAGGGGCAATGAGAATGCCAATGAAATTATTATTTTAGATAAAATAAACGCTGATTCTCCGATTAAAACATATGATATTTTAATGACGGAAAAATTAGATGGACCATGTTTGTGTCCGAGGGTTAGTTTGAGGATTGATCATAGGAATATAGAAATGCTATTTGACACCGGGGCTAGTATTTCTCTAATGTCGCAGGAGAATTTTTATAAGTATTGGCCTGGGGGTAAACTGGAAAAAGAGGCTATGTGTGTCAGGCAGTTT